TTCTTTCCTTCCCTCCCGTCAATCACCCTCCTCCCTCCCCCTATGCCATAAGAAATTCATGGTAGGAGCTTCTAAGACTAAGACCAGGGAGACAGGGAATGTTTTCCCCTTAGTTACCTTTTTTGATGTTCTTCATTCTTTTGTAGAGATCCATATTTCATCTGGTATCATTTAAAAATCCTTCTGCCTGAGAAACCAGGACATTGTTGCTACTAGAGTGCTGCATTTACCAGCCAAAGAATGCCAAAGGTTGCTGGCAAAACCAGAAGTTTATATATGTTTATTCAATCTCCTTGTACACTTGATGATGAATATATACAATTATAGATCAGCAGTTATTTTCTGTCAACTCACTGAAGATATTTTTCTACTGGCTATTTGCTTCCATAATTGTCAGCCTAATTATAGTATCAAATATCCTGCTGAGTTTTGTCTTTTTTTTTTTCCTCTTTGATATGCTGTAGTTTCATGCTGATAAATCTGTGTGTTTCCTGTCTTCAGATTTGGAGTTCTTCCTCATTGCTTTGACCTGAATGTTTGTGCAATTGCACAATTTATATGTTGAAACCTAACCCTCAAGGTGGGTTGATATTAGGAGGTGGAGTCATTGGAAGGTGCTTAGGATAGGACATAAGGGTGGAGCCCTCATGAATGGAATTAGTGCTCCTTTTACAAGAGTCTATTTCATCATGTAAAGACACAGTGAGTAGGTAACATCTATGAAATAGGAAGTGGCCCTTATTAGCCACCACACCAAATCTGCCAACACCATGATCTTGGACTTCCTATGAGAAGGAAATGCTTGTTGATTATAACCCATACAGTCTGCAGTATTGTTTTAGTGGTTTAAACAGCCTAAGACACTCATTTTGAAGATATATTCATCTTTAATATTAGAAAATTATCTCAAGTATTGCCATATCCCTTCTCCTAGAACTTTCCACCTATATTTGTGTCCCATAATTGCTTATATTTATAAATCATTCTGTGATGTATTCTGGCTAACTTTAAAAAAATCTAACTTATATTATCTTCCTCAGTTGTGTCTAAATTATTTATAACTCATCTACTGAACTTGAAATATCAAAGTTTCTAGAACTTCTAGTTTTCCATTTGTCTTTTATTTCTTACTCATGTTTACATTCCCCCTTTACTTCTTTAAATACTTTAACACATTTGAATATTCTCTGAATGAAAATTCCAACATCTGATGGGGGAAGGTGCCTCATTTTATTGTTTCTGCTATTTAACTGTGACTTGTTTCCTCCAGTGCTTTGTAATTTTTCCATGAGTTCATTATCAGTTGATCTTATTCTGTGAGAATCTTGTGAAACCTGGGTTGAAGGTATATTCTTCAAGAGGAGATTTGTGCCTATTTCTGCCATGTGCTCCAGAGTTTCCAATACTATACAGATAGTGTAAATTTGAACTCCAGTTTCAAAGATATTCAAACATGTTTGAATTTTCAGGGAAGATTTTTCTCTCTTCACAGATAGGCTTCCCCTATGAGATCTTTCTCACTTAAGAATATCCATCTCCTTCACAAAACAAAAAAGCCAAAAGAAAAACCAAATAAAAACAGAACCTAAAAAAAAAAAAAAAAAAGAAAAACCAAAACCAAAGAAATTGATTAAGTATGGTATTTTGGGGTTCTAATTATCACTAAAACCAAACAACTCTATGGATCAGACTCCACTATCTTATGCCCCTTGATGTCAAAAGTCTAAGGGCAGTTAATTTTTTGGAAGGTATTTTGTCTTTCTTTTCAGGATTCTTATGAAATTTTAATTCATTTTTATCAAGAGCTTTCCTGCAGTATGTCAAAATAGATGTCAATCAGTTCAGTCGTTCAGTCGTGTCCAACTCTTTGCGAGCCCATGGGCAGCACGCCAGGTTTCCCAGTCCATCACCAATTCCCAGAGCTTGCTCAAACTCATGTCCATCAAGTTGGTGATGCCATTCAACCATTTTATCCTCTGTCATCCCCCTCTCCTCCTGCCTTCAATCTTTCCCAGCATCAGGGTCTTTACCAGTGAGTCAGTTCTTTGCATCAGGGGTCCATGTTAAAAAATGGTTCACATATTACAGGGGAAAAATCCTTTTTAGCTGAAAAATATCATCTTCTATTATCTTTGGCTATTATTTCTATACCTTAAAAAAAAAAAAAATCTCTTTTTTTGGAAAATGACCCAGCCAAATGTTTGATGCTCTGCTTTTTATCTTCTACATTATTTTCTTACATATTATTTAATCTGTTATTTTCCTCTGTCATATTAGTATATCAAACTTTCCTTCCCCATTGCTGATTTTTTTTCAGTATTATTAAAAATTCTATTCTTTAATGTAGCTCTATTTCAAGTCTTTATCCCAAATAGTAGGGAGGTTCTGCTATACTCCAAAGAAAACATATATTGAAGTTTAATGTTATCTCTTCACTTTAGTAGGCTGTCATGTACCTGGCTAAAATGTGTATGTGGGATTTTAGGTATGACGCCATTATTTTCCAAACTCTCATTGAGCTAGCAACAAAGACCCAAAAGAACACAACTCACCTCACTGAAAATGTCGATGTATCCTCAATGATAGAATTTTGGAAAATGTGTCAATAAACAGGACAAACTGACTAGATCTGGAAAAAATCCTTCAGGTACTACTTGGCAAAAAGTAGGACGATCAATCTGTATTTCTCTTATTCTTGGCTTCATGACTTAAAATATGTGAAGTCTTTAAAACCTTGAAGACCAGGCAGCTAGTAAAAAATCTTGTAACAAGAAACAAAGAGTCTGAAAATAGGCCTTCAACTGAGTTGAAGAAAAGGTATTCTCTTTTGTGTGAGACCTTCTGACAATCTGGCTTAGTCTTTGAGTGCTAAAGTTTCTTGGCATATCCCTGGTGGCATGGAGTAAGCCCTGCCACATGAGGCCAAGTGGGAGCCTAGTGACTGTAAGCTCTGATCACAGCTACAACTAGTGATGGTAGCGCGTCATTTTGTGTGATGTGCCTCACAACATTTCTGAAGTCGCTGTGAAGTCATGGTAGGACACATGGCTAGTTCTACTGTGCAGAGTTAAGCAACAGGCATGTGTCATATATGGAAGGGGCAAACGAAGGGTGGAGCAGTTGTCCTGACTGAATGTAACGGTGGCTCTTCCATGGAGAGGGCAGCTGTGATGTCAAGAAGATGACCACGCTGGACGGAGCGGTGTGGACATGAGAGGAGTGAACAGAATACAGGGAACCTATCCTTGGCCCCATGTGAGGAAGCACTTTAGGGAACTCTGAGAAAGAGCAGAAAACTCTAGAGAAGAAATAATTCCCAGCTATAAACCATGAGTTGAGGCCATGGCAATTTAGTTCTTAAAGTAAATGTGACTTCTAACTTGTAGTCAAAATCTGGTAAGGCCAGGATATCTGACTTACATATAAAAGGTATTTCTATTTTTATATTTCTTACACATAAAAGGTATTGTATTTTTGCCCAAGGCAAAACCCTTTTGTTCTCTTAAGTATGTAAGAATGCTAGACATTCTTCCTTATTCCTTTAGTCAAACTTTCCTTCATAAATAATGCAAAGATAAATTAGTCCAGCCTGAGTGGAAAGATCACAATTTCTAAATCTGTAAATTTCTAAAATAAAAATTACAAAAATATATACAGGGAGAATGAGCATGTGCATGTAAATGCTGGAGCCCACCCTCGAAGTGTTATGAATTGTTTTGAATATTCTTCCTAAATCAGTTTATAATAGTATGAGGGAAGTTATAGAATGTTTGCTTTATCTCTCTAATAATATCACTTCTTATTTGTATTTATACTTTGTACATATGACAAGTAATTAAGGCATGATACTTAGTATTGATGTTACTGCATTGGAAGCAAGTTATGTCACAGAAAAATACATAAGTTTGGGAAAGTCATTTAATTTCTCTTGGCATGGTTTTTCCAACTGAAAGGAGTTTGATAGGGTTGTTTCTAAGGCCCTTTCCAGTTTTACTATCCTATAGTTAAAACAGAAACCAAGACAAATAAATACATGTTTTTATAAACACAAAAATAAATAAATATCAATTATGTTGTGAGTTCAAAGACACAAATCATGTCTTAGATTCATTTATTCCCTAAGGAGCATGATATACTTTCTTATATGTAGCAGGTGGTAAGAAAATATCTGTTGATTATATTTTAAGTTTATATGTGATTGGTTTCACAAATAAGTAGAGGACTGAATTATTTCAAAGGCTCTTTCCAGTTCTACTAATTTATGCTTAAAATATGAATCAAGTCCAATAAATAGTATAGTAGACCTATGAGATTTTAAATTCTTGTCTTTGATCTACGAATTCACTTCAAAGTCTCATATAATTTCTTCCATAGCAGGTGCTCAAGGAAATATCTGTGTATTATATTTATTTTATTTGCTCTGTTTTTCAAGTAAGTTTTTCCATATTATAACATGAATGAGTTATTTTCACAACTCATTATTATATCTTTCCATTTCTACCTATCTAGTAAAAACAAGTGAACAAATGGGAAATGCGTATCTAAGTGAGCAAAATATTTTGTTCTTTAGTTTTTGTCAAAGAGACTTATTAGCTTTTCCATACTTTAGACTTCATGAATAGTAAAATTTAAAAACCCAATACTAACCTAGTTTCATGTATACTAATATATGTTCTAGGTTTTCTATATTAAAATCAAAAAGACAAAATTAATTTGAACTAACTGCGGAAGAAACTCTACTCACAAATAATGTAATTATGGCATATGTTCCACCATTAATCAAAAAATCATAGTTAATAAATTTGGGAAGCAACCTTTCAGGCACATGGCATGAAATAAAAAAGGTGATATTCTTTTTATAAATTTTAAAGGTAGCAGTATCACGTGAAATACTCAAGAGTTTACAAGGGGGGAAAAGGGGGCAGGAAAAAAATAAAATTTATATGCACTTTATATAAGCATGTAACTCCTAATGAAACTCAATAAATAGAAACACATGATTTTTGCCAATTCATTTGTACTTTATGCTTCTTTTTAATAGAAATTAAATTAGTCAATTAATGTACATAATGCAGTGTTTGTTTTCCAGTCTAGGTGCTTTTCAGCATTCACTTTTGAGTCTCATGGTAAATGTTACTCAGCATTGAGATGTGGTTTGATGAGTGAACAGGGTCAAGCATAAACTGTACTTAACATAGGACAGAAGGGGTTGAAGTTAACCTGCAGCTAACAACAGGGAATATTAAAAAGAGACACAGACCTGCAAATAGTATCAACATGCATTATTAGGCCAAGATTCAAAGTTAACCCAACCCACACAGATGCCTTCTCAACTGGAAGCACACAGGGAGAGGGATGACTTTACCGAGACCCACAGCCATAGTAGTAAGGTTCATCAGGGCGGAATCCATAAGCCGTGGCAGGGCATCCAAGAATGCCGACAGACTGGCCAAAGCCATCCATTCCAAGGCTAAAAAGAGAAGGAAGAATAGTCAGTTATATTCTTCATCCCAATGCAGGTCGAGTAAGAGGCCTGGAGATTTACACCTTCAAAATTCTCTAGCAGCAAAACAGCTTACGTGGCTGGCTATTATTAACTTTTTTTCTTCTTTAAATTAGTACAGCCATAAAAATATGTTTATTAATAACTATTTAATTATAATAATGTGTTAAAAATATTGAAAATCTCTATCACCAGGCATCATTCAGGGCAAAGAGAAAGAGAGATCAGAAAAGTTTTAATAAATTACACTCATATATGGCTTATATGCCAGAATATGAAAATATTTTACATGTTAGCAATTATCAGTAATAGAATACATTACTAGGAAATGATAAAATTAAAACTAGTAGAGTTTTGCTATTTATAGTAAGATCTCTATTCCATAGGACTAATCCACTATTAGTAAGGACATGCAACTGCGTTCTAGCAGTAATCTCTCACTCAGAGCCAAATCATACTACAAGATCATGACTATAGAAGATAAAGAATTTTTAAAAATTTGGAAGTTAGCCAGATTTGATATGCAAATTCTTCTTCTGACTCTTCAATGTAAAAAAAAAAAAAGACTAAATAGTGCATGTTTTGAGTTATAGCAAGCTGATTATAAAGGTAGAATGAAGTTACAAATGTAGATTGAAACATGGATAAACTATTACTTAAAAATTATTCTTTTATCTAATAAAAAATTTAGAAGAAAAAGCACTTTTAAAGAGTCAGAGAATTATTAAACACTTAGCAAAATGACAAGATACTTATTTTGCCAGGCAAATATGGCAGCTCTAACATGCTCATGCATAGCTCATGCAGTGAATGCTAATGAGCTTATTTCCAATCAAAAGAAATTATTCATAATGCAGAAATGTAAGCTTTGAAAAATAAATATATTTAAATGATTTAAGATTGTTTGAGATTATGCTAAATGGAAAGACACTTTCCCCTTTATCAGCAAAATCTCAATGATTAAAAAATATATTCATATAGGCAGTAACTTCCTCTCACAACATGAGATTAAGTTAAAACACTTTAGAAGTAACTATTAAAATGTTAAGGTTTTAAATAATTTGTGTGCATGTGTTGGATTAGGACTAAACACTAAAAATAAAGGGCATATATTAATAATTTATGTGAATCTACCTTGCAGGGGAATGGGATTTCTAAAATACAAGGTTTACGTTAGAATCTGTAATGAAAGATCCTGGACAGATCAAACTTTTGGGCTCCTTCTATATAAAAAGTTGTCTGTTATTTCTAAAAGCTGTTTGAAATTTTTAAGTCTGAATTTTATTTTGAAATGCCAAAATGTAAGTATGCCCTTCCCACTTTGGTCCCATGAAAAGAAAGATTAAATTTTCTGATAAAGGGAAATTATTACTCTAGAGGTAGCTTTAAAAATGTTTTAGAAATGAATGGAGTCCATGACTAGACATATCTGTATCAGTTTAAAAACAGAGGAAAAGTTGGCCATTGAAAAATTTTCTCTTGAAGCACTAAGGCTAACAAATACTCATGCAACTAAAAAACTGTCATTTACATAAAGGATAACTATATAGCCTGTGGATTTTAGCTCCTTTCCTTTTTCATCTTTCAGCTACTCCCTCCTTACATTTTAAAGCATCTTTTCTGAAGCTAAATAGCAGAAGACTTAGGTAAAACTCGATTTAATTTTGTCTTTATCAGTCTAGCAGCTGTGGTGAGATTACTCTTAAGAACTTGGAAACAAGAGGAATATGATTGATCAGTGAATATATACACAAAAGTGCCTTCAAAATAGAACATCTCACAACAGAACAATATGACAGCAATTCTATCTAAAAGGTGATGATGATACTGAGAAGAGAGTCTGTCAGCCACGTTGGCACAGAAAAAGGAGCTCTTCAGAGGCCACGCTGCAGTAGAACCAACCCAAGCAACTCCTTGGGGTGACATATAACGTCATCAGGACTATATGACCATTTTCACAGGCTTGTCCTCATTGAGGAAGGGGCCTTAACAAAGGTTCTGAGTCTGAAGTTATTATATATTCAAACTGGAAAATTATTTTTTATTTCTATGACCAATAAGCAAACGTCTAATTACTGTTTCCTCATATGACCTGCCAACAAGACATTAAGTTTATCTTATCTAACTAATAGTTATACTTTCATCGTAAATTGAATTGACAAATGAATATTGTTCTTTTTTAATATGTCAGTCACATTTTTTGATAAGAATTATGTATCCCCATGTCAGTGAAAGTAAGACAAAACCTTGAACATCAGAGTTTGAGTTTCCAAGCCTGTAGGTTTACTGTGATAAACTTCTATTTATGCACTCAAGCCAGTGACAACATACAAGCCAATTTTTTTGAAGTTCCATAAATACCACTTGGGAAAAATTTTCAAATAAGAGAATTTGAAATCAACTTATAAAATGAGTTTTTCCAAAATTATCCATCATGTATTACAGATCAAATTGCTGTTTAAAGAATGTTTGAAAGATTGTAACTAGTTTGGGTGATAGTCTCACGTAAGTCCTACATCCTTTTGTATTATGAAAGATCAATCATATCCCTACAATTAATATCTTCTAAATAAAATTCACTCTGAAACAGAATAGCTTGATTCTTTAGTCACTTATTTGGTTCTAATATAGTGGGGAAGTTAGACTTCCGGGGATGCTAAAACCTGGATATACATATTCTTTTGGGACATGTGGACACTTTATTTTCTCCCTTGGCATAAAGATGTAGCCTTGTTAATGCTGAATTTGGTTCAAAACCAGGAGAGCCTAATGTAAGTTTTCTGAATAGAAAGCAGATAAGATTATATAAATTCTGCTGGAAAGGGATAGACACATGAAAATAAAAGGAAGTGTCACAGCAAAAACTGTCTTTTCCTAACCCACTAAGACTTAAGAGTACATAGTATTAAAGCCACTTGCATGCCGTCACCAGGGCCCTTGCAAACTACTGTGATATGCCGTACCTGCTCTTGCCCTATGTGACCAACCTGCTTCAGACAAGAGTTCGTGTATTTGGCTGTTTATATTGGAATTTAATCCAACACTCGCATGGGTGTTTCTGTACGTAGGTATTCTCTTCCTGGTACTCCTAACCTATATAAAAAAGCTGTGTATTCCTTTAGATTAGAATATGCCACTACTAGACCACATTTCCTTTACAGGACTAATTATTTGGTGCCATTTAACCTTTACCTTCAACATCCAGGTATCGTATTTTAGACCTTTCAATTAGAAAAATACCAAAATGCAATAATGTTTCTTGAAAATATATAATTCTAAAGAAAATGGCTACTGTTTGCTGTGGAAAGACATCTAGGAAAGGTAAGGCCCCCTCCAATCCATTTGCTATTAAGTTTCATGTCCCAAGAACAATGATTTTGGGGTACTTAGAAAAAATCGTAAGTTCTTCCTAAGTAAAAAAATATATTTAAAGTTCAACTTAAAACCACACCTAGGTTTTACTTTTAAACAAACATTTAGAGATCTAATTAGCATGTGGCAAGCAAAAGACTAAATTTTCTGTAATATTTACAAGGCTTCAGAATAAATTTTCAACAGCATTCATTAGAATTCTCAACTTGAGATGATTCAGAGAGGGAGGAAAAAAAGAAATCCAGGTATGACAAGTGATGCTTCACATGCAGCACATGACAAGGGGAATGGCAGCCAGCAGGGAGTCCTAGGCACTCCGAGGCGCTGCTGAGACTTCTGTGCCGGAGAAGATGGCATTTCTGTAGAAACAGAGAAAAATCACCTACCTCTGGCTGTTTGTGAGGCTTAGTTAGTGCGTATTTGTAAAGCACTTTGAAATCCTTGGGTGAAAAGTGCTGCATAAGTGAAAAGTATTATCATTATTTTATTAATGATAGATAAAAGCAATGCAAGTTTTTTCTTCTTTGAAATTTCCACATCAGCAAAACGAATGCAAAGCAAATAAGGAATATGTTAGTGGATACTGCAGGAAAAAAAAAAAAAAAGGCTACACTCAAGTCAAGTTCTCTTTTCACAGGCAGGCACATAGTATCTTTGACTTGTAAACATTCTTAGAAATAATCTATTCTACCCTTTCATTCACAACACCCTTGACAGGGTCTATACAGTTCTTGTCATAACACCTCCATCACACTATACTGTCAAAGCAGTTCACTCCTTCTATAGATACATCAAACCATTAGAAAGTTCTTTATGACAGTGAGCTGAAATCTGGTTCTATTAGTCCTAGAATTACCTTTTCAAAACACACAAGAAGTCTAATTATTCTTTAGTATGACTGCTTCACAACTCTCATTTAATCAATCCTCATGACATTATCTCTAAAATCATTTGCTTTCTAAAGCATTTTGATTTTTTTTCAGTATTTATCTTAAAATAAGCTGAAAAGAAGGCAGTACTTATGTGGTCTGAAACCAGCATAGAACATAAAAATGAGATCCTGTTTCTGACTCTTTGTTAATATAGGCCCAAACTGTGTTGAACAAAAATTTTAAGGTGTCATTACCACAATATGGCTTACATTGAATGTGTGTGTGTACAACTGTGTGTAATACACACATAAAATTGTTAACTTAAAACTAACCATGTTTAATTTCATCTTTTTAGCTTGGGTCTTTCTTTGGGGATTCTGTTTTCCCTATGCTAAAATCTTTTATGACAATATATTTATAAGTAGGAAACAGTGATATATTAACTGTCTATCTTTGTGATCCATAAGATAATACTGAAGGCTGGAATTCTTTTGGGATTGTCATGTGAAAGGATTTAGCATTTTTTAGAGGAAACAGCTCCAAAATGTATGATTTAGTAATAGTCTTCTAGAACAGCTCATTCTTTTTATTAAATACTCCTGTATACTGATCATAGAATCAAAATCAGTATGTTTATCTTTCTTTCTAAGTAGACTGTAAATTTATCATCAGATAAATTTATAATTTCAGCTTAAGTATGATTTGTCATGGGAAGTTTATGTC